GGGACAGGTTGTCGAGTAGTGTTATCTCAAGGAATACGGATTTGATATCATTTGGAAAGCCTGATGGGGTCTGGCGTTCAAGGTTTACGATTAGGTGGGCGTACTCGCGGATTATGCCTTTCACTTTGTACCCAGGGTATACTTTGGGCATAAAACATGTCGGTACGTGTTTGTTATCTAAAAATAATTTTAAAACATTAATCATTAATAAGTATTTAGTTTTTAATTTATCAAATTATGTTTTATAATATGTAAAAATATTTTGTTAATATATATTTATATTAGCGTTATAAACAATTTAACAATAACCTTTTAATTACATAAAAATTAACAATTTTAAATAAGGACTATGATAATTTTCATCAATGTTAATTTTTAAAAATTGTATTCAAAATATTTATAACACCAATAAACTATTAATTATATTTATATAAATAAATTATAGTTAAAATAAAATAATTTGCTTACCATTAGCACCGGGAGTCTCGGGTTCAACAAAACAGCACTTCCTGGCCGTGCATTCAGTCTTATTGATGGCCTTTTCGGGCGCACAGTCTATACGCTGGTCGACCGAAATACCGGTGCACTCCTGCGCCCAACAACAGCCAAACAATAGTAAGAAATTCACTAAAATTATAAACTTTTTATTTAACATTTTTGTATTATTGTAAAATAATTATTGTATAAAAACGCTTAATGTAACACGTTTATATACTGTATATTATTATGTCCTTGTATTATTGGATCTGGTACAATTCCCTATTGAAAGTGATTTAATAGGATTAATGATAATATGGAAAAGTTTAAACAAATGTATTGTTTCCCATGTATGTACGTAAAAGTGAGCTTTCAGATTTTATTTTGTAGGATTTATTTTTGATAAATTAAACGATATTATTAATAGACTATCATTATCAATTGATTACATTATAACTTATTTATACTATGCTACGAGATAAGGGTCTACTTGTGTATTAAAATTTAAATATTAGTAGTGAGCTGAACCCAAAGTACTAGGCTGTTTACTCGTAAACCAAATCATATAAAGATAATCTAAAAATATAATTTTTTCATTTTTCATAGAGTGTATAAGATAGTTTTGATAAATTAATTGATTTTTGTAGCATTATCATTTTATGTAATTTATTATAGCGTACAATACAGCTAGGTACAAGAAAAATAAGTGTACTCGTTCAATAGTTAAAATTTCCATAACATTCACAGATAGGATAAAGTAACATGCAGTTAGGGTTCTACAAATGAAATGGACATGGACCAATATGTCGCGTCCCTGTCCGTCCTCATGACATATGTCGGACGTGTCGTTCAATTGGGCGGGGCATGCATTTCATCACATAATTAGCATAATTAATATATTCATGTTATAGTCTTTAAAAGTGATTAACATGACTGCAATAGTATACCTAATCATATTAAAATCATTTTAAATATTTATTTCGTGATAATTTAGAGAAATACACTAACTTTAATGTATGACATAAGGGGGCGCGTGTCCTTCAATTCGAATTTATATACGTATTATCTGTACAAATGACGCGAAAGGACGCGAGTTTAATGACTATTTTCTTAAAATAAATTAAATCTATGAATATTTGACCAAGTTTTAAATTTTTATTCTATAGTATACATCAACTTAGTTATGTTATCGAAGAGATTAGTTTAATATAAATTATAATTAATTAAATAAAATTAATTAAATGTTGAAAACTGGACGGACGGAAAGATTTCCAATATGTACCGTCATGTCATGACATATGTCATACGCGTCATGAAAGCCGCAAACGCGTGTAGAACGCTACATGCAGTATACTGATAATGTACCATTTTATTTATATACTATATAAGTATAGTTATTATAATATTAAATTCAATTGAAATATTTATTTCAAAGTACGTTGGTGATTAATATTTATTAATAGTGATTAAACCGTTTACTGTAATTTAATACACATGAATTTTATTAAATGTATTCTCAATTTATTGATGAATTATATAGAAATTTTATTATTTCAATTTAAATTGAATGAAATTTTATTTTTAATTGAGATTTTTATTATAATTATTATTTGATTAAAAATTTATTTGATTAGTAATTTTATTAAAAATCCAAAACCATTCAGCATGGTGCATCTTATATAGGAATTTTTATAAACAAATAATAACAATATAATTTATACACTATGTGCCTGATATTAATCTTGATAATTTTACCACAAATGATTACATCTTAAGCTTTGATAAAAAATATGAATTATCATCTTGATATAATAATTATATTACATTTTTATTAAAATGTACTAGTTATCTTTATTAAAAAGGATATAAAATAATCGAGGTTTTTTTCTGACCCATATTTTCATAAAATTTAAGTCAAATAACATAAATATTTATTATTTCAACAAAAGTTACAGTTTTTAAAACTTTAATATTTCAATAGTTGATTGAATTATCTGTGAAACGGAATTTAAAATTAGATTTAATATAATCGACACAATCATGTGTTAATTAAAATGATTTTCGTTTAATTAATGTTTAAATTCTGAAAACTCAAGTAACAAATTATTATTTAATTGAAAAGTTGTTAAACTTTTTTTTTGAAATCCATGAAAAACATAAAGAAATGTTTTCTGTCCGCTGTTTCTAATCATTATATTATTTTCTTTTACTTTTTGTATTTCACATAAATATTACAGATTCATTTAGTATTATGACTTATAATTTATAAGTATAGTAACAGTATATTTGTTATTGAATTAAAACACAATTACCAATTAATCATTTTTAGTGGTCAATGTACAATTTAATAATACTCTAAATATAATGCACTTAATATTGTTTAATATGCACGTAATTATTAAAATAATTTAAGTTTTTAATCACAAAAATAAACAGGATAAGATAATAATGTTACTTGTGTATCACGCTATAGCAGATTTAGGTAATATATAAACCAAAATACCAGTATTTTGAATTTCATTACAAAAATTCAGGTCCAGGTGCTCATAGTTTATCAAATGTTTGTCAAAAAATTGGTAAATAGTTCACTAACTACATAATTAATTATTCAATAAACATGCCTCGCTTAATGTCATAATGAATTCACAATTAATTACTAGCTAACAAATTAATAAAATTAAAATTCCATAAACATTTAAACCTTACATAACTTAAGGTGCTTGATTATTTGCAACATAAATTATAATTTAAAAACACATTTAAAAAGAAATTCAAAAATAATAAACTATATTGGTTTAAGTATTGCATATTATTTTATTATGCACAGTTTATTTTTAGTGCAATTTTATTTATAAACATTATTAAAAGATTATTGATGTACATTTTGATTATGGTATCTAAATAAATAATATTACTGTAAAAAAGCTAATGGGTTGCATGCTTTGATTGAAATTAACATCACTTAAATAATCGTGATTAGATATTGTTTATTTTATTTATTTAATATTTATATAAATATTTTAAAAACTAATCTAATAATCATTTTTTAGAAATATCCTTGAGTAATACAATATAAATTTTAAAATATATTAATCTTAAATCTGAAAATAAAAGAAAGGTACTATTCAAAATATAACTAATTTAAAATAATAAATTGCAGACAATATATTACAATAAAGTTTTGTATCCCCGTAAAAGTTTTATATGAGAATTGAATAGCTGTATGTTATGTATAGACTTTATGATTACAGACTTAGATTACAATATACTATCATAATTACATACACCATTTAAAATAACCTTGATAATTACTTGATTTAAATTCTTATATAAATCAAATTATATCGTAAATTTATTTAGTATAATATTTCATCACATAAATAAATTTATTTACAGCAAAATAACACCAATAATGAAATATTTAGTAATTTTTATGTGTATTTCCTTAAGAATTTTATTTAATAATGTCAACGCTTTCGGTAATTATTATATTTAAATACTTTTACTAATGATTTTAAAATATTTTACTTTTAGCTGTTAATGAAACACAAATTGGCATTGGTGCAACTGGTATGCCTAATGTTGGACAACTAATAAGTAAAATTATTTTTTAAAACTAGGTCTATTAACAATTGAACGGAAATCAACCAAAAAACTTATATTCCAAACCGATTTGACCAAACTCATATACTCGGACCAATTTATTCAGCTCAAATCTACACTACCATCCCCGCAAATATACGGCCTGGGTGAAAACAAATCCAACTTCACCAAGAGCACTCAATGGGAACTGATTACTATATTCAACCATGACAAGGTGATGAGCGCACCGGGACCTCGCTATGGGTCCCACCCTTTCTACCTTAACATAGAGGACGTGACCACCGGTACCTCGAACGGGGTATTCCTACTGAACTCCAACGCCATGGATGTCCTACTTCAACCCGAACCGGCCATTACCTACCGTCCCATTGGGGGTATACTCGATATGTTTGTATTCCTGGGGCCTAAACCCGATGATGTGGTCCGACAGTACATACACCTCATAGGACTGCCTGAATTGCCCCCGTTTTGGGCGTTGGGTTACCATCAGTGCCGGTGCTGTACGGAACCCCATACCCTGGCCAACCAGAAGCTGATCACTGAAAGGACTATCAGCGCCGGTATCCCATTTGACGTCCAGTGGAACGCCAAGGAGTATATGGAGCCCACGTTTGATGACTTTACGATCGACCAAAAAAGGTTTGGTGGGTTTGCCGATTGGGTCCGACATTTGCACGATATTGGCATGCATTACGTGCCAATTGTTGACCCCGGTATAGACCCAGCTCAGAAAGCAGGTATTTACTATACTGTATATACTTTGTAATTACGGCACAGCAAATAGTTTAATATTTAATATAAATTTAATTATTTTTAAAAAAAGTAATCACATAAAATTAAATTCACGCTTTACCCAGGACAATACGCGCCCTACGATGATGGTGTTAGCATGGACATTTTTATCAAAAACAACACTGGCGGCATATTTATTGGCAAGACGTGGCAGACCTCGGGCAAAACAGTGTACCCCGACTTTTCGCATCCCGGGTCCATCAAGTATTGGACCAAACAGTACCAGGAGTTTCATAATCAGGTGCCGATAGACGGCTCGTGGAACGACATGAACGAAGTCGACAACTTCCTCAGCGCCTCCATATATGGCTGTCCCGCCAATAATAGTCTGGAGACCCCGCCATACCTACCAAAACAGTTGCCCAAAATACAGGACCAAACACTCTGTATGTCCGCCAAACAGTACGCGGGTCTACACTATAATGTCCACAACTTGTATGCTTTCTATATGGCAATCGCCACTGATGAGTATGTCAATTGAAAAGTGATCTTGGCCATTTGATGTATGTTTTTTTGCATTTTAATTGATTTTTAATTTATAGGGCATTAAAAACTGTACGAAATAAACGCCCGTTTGTGATATCCCGGGCCACTTCTCCGGGTCAGGGCAAGTACTCCGGGCATTGGAACGGCGATACGGATACTACTTATGGGGAACTTAAGTGGACCATTGGATGTAAACTTTTAGACTACCTAGTGTAAAAACTACTTGAAATTAATAATTATTTTTACAATCACCTAGCTGTGTTGGATATGAATATGTTTGGTATACCACTAGCCGGTGGTGATATTTGTGGGTTTATGGGTCACTCTGAAAACAACACGCATGGCCAGGAACTATGTGCTAGGTGGTTGGAAGTGGGTGCATTTTACCCATTTTCTAGGTATAATAATTAACTATAAAAACTTTAAAACTAATATAGCATGAGTAATTTTTGAAAATATTATCAAGGAATCACAATACAAAAATAATGGACCAGGATCCAGTAGCACTTGGCACCATGGTCACACGTGCGGCTAAAAACGCACTGTCAACCCGATACACACTTTTACCTTACTTATATACACTGTTTTACCATGCTAAAACCAACGGTGACACAGTGTCGAGGCCTTTATTTTTTGAATACCCGGCCGATAAGCATACTTACGAGCGTACGGTAGCCGAGACCCAGTTTATGTGGGGCTCGGCCTTTATGGTGGCGCCGGTAACTCAGCCCAACATCACCAAAATCAA